ACGATTGGGAAAACCACAGGCTTCGAAACCGGAATTTCCACAACTCCGAGAGTGAAGGACAGTGTGAGGTGACCACCAGGGTTCAAAAGGGAGTGTCAAGAGGCATGCGCCTCCCGTCCCTCCCCCCGAGGGGGGAGGTCACACACGAAGCACACCATGCAAACTCAGCTCATCAACGGCTCAGCGAAATGAGCTAAGTGAGGTGCTTCAAGGAGAGACAACTCAAGTGACGCGTGCTGCAAAAACGTCGTTTAATCATCTGACAGCATCTGACTGTGCCATTCAAACGTGGGCAGAGCGATCAGTCAATCCATGCAGGGCCCCATAAACTATCCGAAAATAGTGAAGAAGTGAGACAAGGTGAAACGCCGTTTTCCTAATTCTGTACACTGTACTCATCCAGATCCACTACGCGGGTAGCAATCTGGGACTGTCTAACTACTCAGGTCAACGAAAGGCAGGCGGCTCAGCACCATGGAATGGGACTCCTAGGACCAGCACACGGGTGCAAGTCGAGGCACTAGCAAGAGCAAGCAAGCGCTGTCGACATTGCATTTGTGGTCATGCTGATCGAGCGGTCCTATTGCAATTCAAGTCCTAGTGACAGGCTCTCATCCTTAGGTCCTCCTGGATGGTTTGTTGATGGACAGTAGACGCGTTTGGACGTTCTACAGGGGTAGCGCCTGACCTATACTAGGCCAGCGCACAGGTGCCAACAAAGGCCTGGCAGCCATCACGTCGCCAGAGCATGACTTTAATCGGGGGCAGCAAAGGAGTCATCTGCCCATTGATCATCGTCTTTTTGGCTGCGTGGCAGCCACCGTACCCATTTCTGCGTATCTAGGTTATCACATCTTAGAAATGCATTTGCACGAGCATATGCCCCCCTCCAAGTCAAGCTTTTGACAGTTCTTTCAAATCGATTAAGTTGCGCGCGCCCTCCAAATGCTCTTCTTGCAATATAAAGTAGTGTAGGGGGCACGTGAACCTCCGTTAAGGAAGTACATTTGAGGAAAGCCTCCTGTTGGATCTTTCGGAGTTTGCCAGGAAGCTCGAGAGTTCGCAGGTGCTTACAGTGTGCAAATGCACAACTCATGATTTCCTTGATTTCCGTCCTTGAGAGGTCCACTAGTTGCAGCTGCAAACAGCGTTCACAGGCTGCTGGTCCGATCCAGGCGAAGTCTGGAGGCAAGTTCAGTTCTGTTAGGCCAGCTTCTAAAAAGCAGCATTCCGGCAAGCCTCGCATCAGTCTGGCAGGTTTGTGCTCCGAAAGCTCACCCTGACCTTCCATTGTCTGTGTGTGGCGCGTGCGGTGGCCAAAACTTGCCGAAAAAAACGTCGGTGAGCCGAAAAAACGTCGACCACGCCGTTTTATGGACGACCCCGGCTTTTTTGAGGGCGAGCCTGCCGAAAAAACGTCGTTGCCCATTTTTTGGCGTGTACGCTTTTTTAAGCTGGGCCCATGATAGCTATATCGCTGGGCTTTCTGCGCGTGTATTTCCTAGCGTGCGCCTTGCCGCGTGTTTAACATTATTTAAAGGCCGGCCACGTATATATACGTTCATGGGTTTTGCTCTTCATCACTTGTTTGCGCACCCTTCTATCTCTTGCCCAATTTCTTTTCTTACCTTCTTCTTTTTGTCTTGTTTTGTTTTCCCTTTCCTTCTCCTTTTGCCTTTCCTCCTTTCCCTCTAGAAATTTCTTTCCCTTTTCCCTTTGTTGGTTCTTTGTTTTCTCGCCCAATTTGCTCTTCTTATTTCTTGCTCTTCTGTGGGTTGTCTTTTTTTTAATTTCCTACGCTCTTGCCCTCTGGCCTTTTAATTTTGATTCGGCTTTGGCGTGCGCCGGTGCGTGTGCGTGCCTAGCTCTTTGGTGGCTGGTTGCCTGTCCTTTGCTCTTTTCTTTTGCTTGCCTGGCCTTCCCTCTAGTCATTAATTTGGCGTGCTGTGTGCGCCGGTGTTGCTTGCTCTTCCGTGGTTGATTGCTTCTCCTTTAACTCTTTTCTTTTGCTTGCCTGGCCTTCCCCTCTGGTCTTTAAAAATTGGGCTTTGGTGCGCCGGTGCTTCTTGCTTGCTCTTCCGTGGTTGATTGCTTCTCCTTTAAGTCTTTTCTTTCGCTGGCCTGGCCTTCCCCTTTGGTCTTTTGGCTTTGGCGCGCCGGCTTGGGCGGCGCTGCCTGTAATATATGTTTTTGTGTTCTGATTTGCCGCGGAGAAATTTAAAGGGCGATTTAGAGGAAGGAGCGTGGAATAAGGGGGAAAGGAAATTGCAAGCTCGGAAGGGTGTACAACTAGCAATTTTCAAGGCGCAGAGGACCAGTCGCCTAATGGAGAAGGCGTTGCCTCGCTTCTGCCAGGGAATTGCATGACTGGCAGGGTGAGCGCAGAGATGGAGGCTCGAATCCTCCCTGGTCCGTTTTTTTGCGTTTACAAAAGTGGATGGATCAAGGAGAAAAACCACCAATGACAACGGCCAACTGGAGCTCCGCCAAAATACGGTCAACCCCCGCCAAAATACGGTCAACTCCCGCCAAAATACGGTCAACCCCCGCCAAAATACGGTCAATGGCCGCCAAAATACGGTCAATGGCCGCCAAAATACGGTCAACCAACTTGTGAACAACAAATTTCAATGACATTTGTAAAAAGAATTCCGAACGCATGCGTGATGCATTCGTTTAATATAACATGCCCGCAATATTGCCACCACAAATGATGAAAATTAACAAGACTACTTTTTTGAACGGACAGCTGCTGTTAATACAAACTGCGCATGTATGAGAAATATTTGCAACATATCTGGGTTAAAAGATACGTGAGCAGTATGATTGAAACTCTTTAGCAGTACTAGTATGTGAAACGATGTGCAATGCAACTCTGTGCAGTTTGAGTGTTCGTTTACTCTTGCTTCGTTTCAATTTTGCACAACGCATTGTCGAAGCTTCTTTGCAGTGCAGGGTTCACTCGCAGGCTGCCTTTGCATGCCACTAGCTTTCAGGGCCACATTCACGCTGACTGCGCATTTTAAATCTATATGGTAGAGGCCACTGCAATTTACCAATTAGCTCTAGATCTGCCCAGTCAGCTAGTGGCCAAAACGGAAAAGGCACTTGACTTCAAAGCATGGGCAAACCAGTTCCCAGGAAACCATGCACCTTTGGACTTGGGCGTTTCAGAAGGACAAACATTATTGGGTTCTCTTTAGATTGCGTGAATGAGAGCATGCCTGCACCTCGTCGGTGGCAGCAGTGGTCCAAGTTCCGACGTGGGGGTCCCAAGCTTAAGCTCGCTGATTGAATTCGTCTAAGGACTTCGTGACTCATGGAGTTGGATTCGAGTTCGAACCTAATTGTCCTAGTCGAAATCGTTTTTCAGTGACCAGTACTGTCATGACCGGAGTGTGATCACAGTACATCTACAGGTTTGCACTCCAGTCGCTCGAATCTGCTTCCACTCCAGTCTGCCTTCAGGTGATCAAGCTGCTCAGGCATCGCGAGGCACCGGCGCATTCAGTACTTGAAATCTTTCAAGCATGAACCTGGTCAGCGTGCATTGCATTGAACTTGGATGTGTGGATTGAACTTGCATGAGGATCAAATGCTTCAAGTTTCAATTGAGTCGTTTGCACTGCGTTGAATTTCAATATAAAAGTAAACAGCGTAAACTCTATGATGCGCGCATGGGCGCACAAGCGCACGCGCGCATATATGTGAGCGTTCGCGCCCCTGCGCTTCACTTCACATGTGCAACGGCGCGCAATGTCAGAAGATAAGCCCGACCCGGACCAAGCCATGGAACCAAAGCAATTTCGGTGGACGGAAAGAAGGGCCCGCCCCGAACAAGTTCAACGAATTCTGGTCAGCCTGGCTGTGGTTATAGACAAAAATTTATATATGCACTATGCTGCAACTGCCAGGATTTTCTCTCGGAGGTGTGCACCGTGAAGTTCGTCAGGACGCAAAAAGAAAAGCAAGCTGAGCAGGAGGAGGGGCATCAATCAAGAATCTCAAGATTTGGAAGAATTCATATTGCTTCCAGGCCAAGAACATGGAGTACTTCGTTTCCCTTCGATGTGATAAGCCCAAGATCCACACTACTTTGGAGGAGCAGGCATCGATTTCTTTTGATTGGCTAAATAGTCGAGTAGCTACGCTGTACATGTTGGCGCAGGTTGTTGTCAATGGCGAGGTGCTTCTCAAGTGGTTCAATGTGTTTGGCCGGGAGACCCCGACCTGCGCAGAAATAAAGGCACGCTTCAATGTTGCGAGCCCGATTCTTATATATGCTTTTGACCTGCAGGTCGCGGCCCTTGAGCTCAATGACACTGTCAAGATTTTGCAGGGCGAAAAGGTCAAGGACAAAAAGGCACGCAATTCACGAATCCCAACAGATTGCAAATATGTTTTAATTAAGATGCAGTTCGTTCCATTGTGTTCCGATTTGCCTTTTGAATATTCTTCGCTCCGACTCTTCGCTCCGACTTTTTGCAACCACTTCAAATTTGCGTTCAGAATTTGCACAGGTGGAAGCGGCGCAAACAGCTGGCGACTTCCGTGCATTGATCTCTGACTTCCTCACCGCAGAGCGGAGAAGCAGAGGGACGAGGCGTGCTCATTGTCAGGATCATGGTTTTGGTTTTGCGCATTCGGTCGTTCAATATTATTTATTGCCTTCATTCCAGGCCTGGTTCTCATGCGATCGTGCACGAGCTCAAGAACATCATCAGGACCAAGAGCGGGAAACGGACAAAGGCCAGGGTCTGATGAACTAGGAACTAGGTCTGAGCTTTTGATTATTGGAAAGATGATTGCAGGCGGAACGACGAACGTCATTTGGAAGCACTATGACGGAGGAACGTTTTGGCGTGTTTTGTCTTTGCAACATGTGCAGTCGGTTGATTGCTTGTTGTGCATTGAGTTGCGCATTGTCTTTGGCAGTTGCGGGTTGTTTGGGCATTCGTTGCAACTTGTGATCATCCGTTGCCAGGGAGGTCCGAGCCGAAGCGACCACTACCGCCACAGCATTTTGCTGTGCTTGTGCGCAGCCTTCATCATGGCCTCTTCCACGGGTGCTTCATACACTTCGGCCCCATGGCCTTCATCCTCGGCTGCTCCACAACCTGCTGCTGCTGCTCCAGCTGGCCAACCTCCTGCTGGGAATGTGGCAGGATGGACATTGGCCGTGCCAAACGTGATTTGGGACCAGGAGTACGAAATGGAGCTTGACCTCAGCCCCTTTGAGGCCATCACTGGACGCACAAGGGCAGATCTTGGAGGTGAAAGCACATTGGACAGCTTTGACCTGCTTTGGTGGGCGCGGGAGGATCTGATCGAGGTGCAGGGTATGATGGAGTCATCCATCTCAGCTCTCTACTATGGGAGTGGGAGGTTGAAAAAGGAGAGGAAACGCCTTCACTGGGTCTTCCACAAGCACATGCCGGAGCATTGCAGGAGCTGGGGGCATGATCTGCCGAAATTGGGCCTGCGGCTGCTGCGTCCGCGGTGGCTGGAGGCGAACGAATTGTTCAACGACAAGACGCAACACGATTTGATGGAAGCATGGCTCGCATGGTCACTGACAAGCAGTGACCCCTTTTGGAAGAGCATTGTGGCCCACATCCTGCACTTCCTGAACTTGCTCGATACGGTCTTCAAGTCCACATGGGTGCCCAACTCCTGGAACTATGCCACTAGCTGGGATAGGATGCTCGAGCTCAGGGAGAAGCTAGAGGAGATCAAGGAGCAGCGTACGCAGCTCAGGGATCGGTGGGCGGGCTGGTGATCACGATCTTCAGCACGCAGAGAATTGAAATCGGCAGCAAGCCATAGAGCATGCGGCCCGAAAATCAGTGCCAGCTGCCATAGAGCACGACATGCACTCATCACCTTGCCCTCTAAAAGAGAGGCCATGAAATTTCATTTATTGCAGCTGGCCACATCATCAGACATAGTGGCCCCAGTGACACAGGCACATTAACTTGTGACCTGACCGGAATGACACAGGCGCATTAACTTGTGACCTGACCGGAATGACGCAGGCGCATTAACTTGTGACCTGACACGGGCGCATAACAAAACTTGTGACCCGAATGACACGAGAGCAGGAATACAGTGAGGGGCTTCGATCGGTCGACCATTTTGGATCAATGCTTTTGGAACATTTGAGTTGCGTGCATGGTCGCTCAATTTGATTTGCATTGTCGCTGGTTTCGCAGGACTCACAAGGCAGTGCATCGGCCAAACCCAAGCCTGAACCGGAGGCTCCAATGCATGGTATATATAGAGCGCTATCGATATCGTCCATGCACAGGAGTCATGTTCAAGCTCATCTTCTAGTGATGAGTCTTCGTCCTCGGAATCCTCAAGCTCAGCTTCAAAAGCTTTGTCATCGCGTGAGGCTGGCTTCTTCCGATGGCGTTTGAGACAGTCCAAGTCCATCCAAGTCGAATTCATTGTGACAGGCTGGAACGTCAAAGGATGAACCACCAGAGGATCCCCCGGAGAAGGCCAGATTTTTGATTTTGGGTTGGACAGAAGCAGAGTCGTTGATTTTTGATTTGTTGATTTTGGGTATTTTGATTTTGAGGCTGCAGAAGCAAAGGCTGCAGCAGTGCCGTCAATTGTAGACCAGGACAGTTTTTTAAAGCGCCTGGCTAAGTGAGTTTCGCGCGTTGATTCCGACAGGCTCAACATAAAACGCCGCCATACCCTTTGTCCTCGTCTTCCTCCAGCAGTTCGATTTCATCCAACGAGAATGAGGCTGTTTGTTTTCAGAGGGAGTCGGAGACAGTGCAGAAGCCCAATCAGTTGTGTTTCATTGATTCATTGGTGGCCTCTAGGATATTAGATTTTGATTCTCACTCTGACAGGCTGCAGGGATGCCAAGTCAATCATCATTGCATGAGGCTCGATGTTTTGAGAATTGGGTTATAAAGGCTGCAGGGACCTAAACATTATTCCTGTTCTTTTGGAAGCCTTGAGGTCAGCATTTATTGAGAATTTCAATTCTGGCTGGCAGGCTGCAGAAGCAAAGATATCGATGAAAGTACCATCAGACCGGCCGTCATTGCCTCACCAGGCTCTTTGTTTCGGGTAAAGGAGCAACTTGAGAACAAGGTTCCAGTTCCTTTTGGCCTTGAGGTCAAGGTTCGATTCTCCAAATCTTACAGGCTGCAGATGATATTGTCACTTTTCGTGGCAGGCGCAGGACTTCGTGCGGGCTTTGAAGCGCGGAAGTGCAATTCTCGTGGCAGGCGCAGGGAATCGTGAGGTTGTGAGTTGTGGTAGAGGTGAATGTCGCTGTCCCATTGGGATTGGCGTGTGAGCGGATGTTGTTTGGAGGGGCTGGAATCGTGAAACTGCTTGGCAGGGCTGCGTGATGTGTGTGCTCCGATGGGTGTTTCCGCTTGACTTTTGGAGGAAGTCTCGTACGAAACGCTCGTTTTGCAGACTTTGACGTGTGAGTTTTTGAGGAAGTCTCGTACGAAACGCTCGTTTTGGACACTTGCGCAACCCTCTGCGGAGATCGTGCGCGTCGAGTGCGCCAAATGCAGGCGAAAGTGCGATTTGTCCCATGCGCGCGCAACCCTCTGCGGAGATCGTGCGTGTCGAGTGCGCGAAATGCAGGCGAGAGTGCGATTTGTCCCATGCGCGCGCAACCCTCTGCGGAGATCGTGCGTGTTGAGTGCGCGAAATGCAGGCGAGAGTGCGATTTGTCCGGTGGAGCTGGAAGCTGAGAACTGGCGACCTTGTAGTACAACTGTAGTACGTGGAGTATCTGGGGAGCTGGAAGCTGAGAACTGGCGACCTTGTAGTACAACTTTAGTACGCGGAGTATCTGGGGAGCTGGAAGAGAGTCCCACAAGAGTGTCCCGCAACAGTGTCCCACTAGAGTGTCTCAAAAGAGTGTCCCACAAGAGTGTAAGAGTGTCCTACAAGACTGTCCCACAAGAGTATCTTACAAGAGTGTCCCACAAGGAGTTCCACAAGAGTGTCCCACAGAGTGTCCCACAAGACTGTCCCACAAAAGTGTCCTACAAGAGTGACCCACAAGAGTGTCCTACAAGAGTGTCCTATAAGAGTGTCCCACAAGAGTGTCCCACAAGAGTGTCCCACAAGATTTTCCCACAAGAGTGTTCTACAAGAGTGTCTCACAAGAGTGTGCCACAAGAGTGTCCCACAAGAGTGTCCCGCAACAGTGTCGCTCAAGAGTGTCTCACAAGAGTGTCCCTTAAGAGTGTCCCTTAAGAGTGTCCGACAAGAGTATCCCACAAGAGTGTCCTACAAGAGTGTCCCACAAGAGTGTCCCACAAGAGTGTCCTAGAAGAGTGTCCCACAAGAGTTTCCTAAGAGTGTCCCACAAGAGTGTCCTGCAAGTGACGCACAAGAGTGTCCCACAAGAG